CATTGAAAGTGCTTATTACTACTAGCTTCTTCTTCTCCTTCTCCTCCTCCTCCTCTCCTTTTCTTCTTCTTCTTTCACCATCATCATCACCATCATCATCATCATCATTCCTGGTAAGTAATTGTTGCATTAAATTATTTCTCCTTTTATTATACTTAAAGATTTGTCAAAGACTGCAATAAAGACATCTGATCTCAGCAGGAAAGCAAATATGGATGCATATATAAAAACGTCCCTACCTTCAAATATAGAGGAAAGTATAAACCTTGCTATTGTATGACTAGGCTAGTTTGCAGTGACTTTCTTACACACACACACACACACACACACACAAATACAAATTATTATTTAAAAATAACATTTTCCTTCATTTTATGCATATGTGAAAAGGGGTGATGTATCTAGCCGCATATGTGAATAGATTGGCCAATGATGAATGATGCATACTGCACAGCAGCCCCTTTTCTATTCAGTTTGCTATACAGGTAGTTCTCAAATTAGACCACAATTGGGCCCAAAATTTCTGTTGTTAAGTAAAAAAAAATTTAATTGAGTTTTGTTCCATTTTAAAACATTTCTTGTCACAGTTGTTAAGTGAGTAGTTTAGTAACCAGTTGTTGTGAATCTGGTGTCCCCACTGACTTTGTTTGTCAGAAGGCTGCAAAGGGTGATCACATGACCTTGTGACACAGCAACAGTCACAAATATGAACCAATTGCCAAGCATCTGAATTTTGGTAGTCTTAAGTCATTTTTTTCAGTGCAGTTGTAACTTTGAACCGCCAGTAAATGAACTTTTGTAAATCAAGGATTACCTGCCTGGTTTTATTTATAGTTCAAGATAGAAAACATAGGTCTCTCCCCTTTTGTCATTATTATAAAGGACAAATAGGTTGGGCTGAGAGACAGCCACTGACTGAATAATCTCCATGTTGTGAAGGTCCTCTCCTCTTCTACTAGTAACACAATCTTATGTGATATTGATATTATCTTGATATTATCCTAGTTTGTTCACAAGATATACATTCCTCAAGAAAACTTTCCTACCTGCATCTGTCTACTGGATGACTTGCCAAAGTCTATTCTGACTTTGGTCAAAAACATTTATTCTTCTTTCCTCACTGTATTTCTACAAGTGTTAACACTTTATTTTATTCAATTTAAATTTGTACAATTAGAAAAACTGTATAATAATAGAAACATAAATACAACCTAAAATGATTTAAAGTTTTATGTATTTACATGTGTAAATACATTTCTAATAATTTATGTTCTAATGAAATAAGAGAAAAAGTGGAAAAATAGAAATGTAAGGAAAAGCTTATTTCTAAAGGGCGAAATCACACCACCATCATTACACCCCATAAAATGTAGATTAACTATGCCATAAATTTGGGCAAATACCTTTAAGTTATTACACAGTAAAATAAGACATATGTCATGAAATAGACTGGAGATGCTACACAGCAAAATAGATTGGAGACAACATACTATAGAACAGTGTGTTATCCTACACAAATGCAAACACAGACACAAACAATTTCCAATTTATATTTTAAGGGGAAAAAAACCAAAGTGCTCTAGTTTGATTCCAGTCATCTAGAGAAACTGCACTAAACAAGATTTCTAAACTTAAATGCCCATGGCATATTTCTCTTAAAAGTCAATAGCAATTTGTTCCTCCAATGTTTGCTGTCTATGAATGCAGGCTTTCAAAAGAAAAGTATTACACAATTAAGACTGCAATTAACTAGATAGCTCTTGTAACAGAGGCCCCTCCTCTTTCCGTTCTTTTAATGAAGCACGCACTAACAGCAACAGAAAAATACATAATGCCTGAAAAGCTAAAAGGGAATGTAAATGTTTATTTATTTATCAAATGCCACTCATCTCATGAAAAGCAACTCTGGGCAGCATATAATATTTCATCTTAAGCATCATGTTTATGCCAGTCCAACACACAAATATGCCTTATTTTGAAAAAGTTTATGTATTATATGCAAACAAACAAGCTGCAGTTACAATCAAATTAAGGGAACTCATCTGATTGACTTCCTCAGCCTAGCCTGTCATGCCATTCCTCATGTCACAGTACATGCTGAATTTTGCAAAATTACAATAATTTTCCTGTAAAATTTATCCACTTGGCAGTCCTCTCAGAAACACAAGTCCAAGTAGTAAGGGTTTATCTAATTTGGCCCCAGAAGTTTCCCAGGCATAGATAATTTCTGCTGGAACCATCAGCTAAGAAATTGTATCTTCACGTATTTGAGAAGACAACCTGAGAAACTTCTCAAAGCAGATAGGCTGAACTGTGCAGAAAATATGCTTTCAGAGAACAGGCTGGCCTTCAAGGAAGGAAGCTACTTCAAGGATTTTGTTTGATTGTTTGCATCAAAGCACACCACAAACATCCATTCAAATGCCCTGAAAAGCCTAATTAAATTTTTTTTAAAAATAAACATGACAAAATATGAATAACTGTATTAATAATTACCAAGCATTTCCTGTGCTTCCTGGCAATGTAAAGGTCTGAAATGGGAATAGGGAAACTTCTTGTGGAGGGAGGAGAGGAGAGAGCAAAAATGTAAAAAGATTTTTTAAAAAAATAGAGAACCTTCATTTCTCTAAGTTCTTCTCCTTAACATTTGCCAAAGATCAAAACCAACCATCCAGATCACAAAGTACAAATGGAATCCAACCATAATTAAAAAACATTCACTATAATTAACATTAAACTATATGGTCAGAAAAATAAGCAGCATTAAAAAACAATTAAAGAAGAATTCCATGTGTTTCTTAAAGATCTTAGCCAGTAGGAGAATTCTAATTACTTCCAAGATGGTTTGCAATACAAAACACAAAATTAAGATGAGGTAGCACCTAGGTGCTCAAGTGAAAAAACAGAATCCAAGTTTTACTGTAATAAAACAAGATTTCCTCAGCAGCTATAATGAGATCATTGTTTCATATGCTTCCTTGTCACTCAGTTTCATAAAAGAAAGCTGATGTCATCTCAGGGTTATTAGGAGAGTATTCTCATTCATGTGGTAGGAGTAATAATACCAGGTATTGATTTGATGTGTATATTTTCTGTTAAATGTTATGTTTATGTTGAATTATGTTGGCTTAAAGTCAGGTGGCTCAAGTGACATACAAGTCTTATATACATAAATGTCCCAGAAACTGCATGTTCAGACTAATCTTTGATGGTTTTTAATATTTTTAATATTATTTAATATTATCATTATTACTATTGTTACCCGAGACACTATTATGAAATGAGCAATCTCATACATTATGAAAATCAATAATCATGAATGCTTTATCTTGTATATCAACTAGTTTAAGAGCTAAGGAAAAGCATACAAAGAATTATATCAAAATGTTGAAAATGTATTGCAGCCCTTATTTGTAGCACTGTACAGGTTTTCAAATTATAATCAGATGCTACCCCTTTGGGAAAAAGAATACAGCAAAAAAAATCTAATAAAATATATTATTATATTAAGCCAAGCAAAAATAACACTTGCAGTTAATGCTAATACCAGCAGTAGACAAAAGAGTTTTCCCCTTCATCCCCACCCAAGCTAGAAGAACATACCACAGCTTTTACCCAATGAAAATGGCACTTTGCATCCATGTATTCTGGCTGAGTAGGGGCGTGACCAGCTGCTGATATTAGATCCATTTTTCTCTGAGAAAAATCAGTGGAAACACTAAAGGGACACAACCATCATGTGTGAAATCACTGGATGGTGGCAGCAATTCTTTGAAAGATAATCTAGAACACCCCCCCCCCACCAAGACTACTGCATCTATAGCCAAATGAGTATACACAGATGTTTGTGGGGGAGGGGGGATAGAGAGGGGGAGAAAAATTACATGTTTTTTTTTCCCCAACTCACCAATCACACCCACTAAAAATGTAAATCTCATAATGCTGACCTACATATCTGGAACAAAGCATCTGTCAGGAAAGATGACCTTTATAAAATTCTTTCTTTCTAGGCTTAATGAAAATGAATTAATTTATTAATTTATGAGAATGGAGGAAGAATACTTTTTCCTTTCATTAGTTATTCAAAGGTTTTTCACCATCTAATTGTTAGAAACGCGACATGGACTGCAAAACATGGCACCACCAAAATGAAGAGCAGGGGAGCCCATCCTTTTTCTCTTTCCAAGATCCACACCTACTGCAGTGCCAACAGCATATAATTCGCCATCACCCTCAACAATTAAAATGAGCTTTCCAAACAGAAAACCAAATGGTCTAGATAAAGAAGGAAAAGAATACCAGAAAGAAAAGAATAGGAATAGAAAACCAAGACGTCCTTAAAATGTAAAACGACTCAATTTGGCAAACTGAAAATTGTTTAAAAACCGGCACACGCACGTGAAATTTACATTTCACGCTGTATTTCTGCAAATGAATGAAAATGAAACAATGCTATGCTTTTCAAAGCCTTCCTAAACCTCTGCCGCTTTCCCTTGCAACTTACATCTACCCTTGAGGGTCTCAGAGACACACCCCTCCTGCCCCATTTTGTACTGCGAGAATCTCCATTGAGTGCCGAGCTTACAATACACCAAGAAAGAAAAGCGCCAATTTGCAGAGCAGAGACAGGTGGCGAGTGCGTATTGGCACTCAGGGTCCTCTACTCCGAAGGAGTGCGCTTAAAGGAGGCGAAGAGAGATAAGCAGCTCCAAATGCCACGGGCGAAGAGGTAGCAGTAACTGCAAAGGCTGAGCGAAGGTGTCTATCCGGCGATCTTCCGCTCCACTCGAATTATGCTGCGGTTCTGAGCCTTCTGACTCCCGAGCTTTTTTATCTGCACGGCACCTCTGCTTACAGCCATTGCCGGAGCAATCGCTGCGTAACCCGCACGCACCTGTGCGTTCCACGCACCCCGCCCGGCCAACCCCGATCCCCCAATGCATGGAGAATCCGAAGGCCCCGGGTTACCTTCCTCGGCTGGAAGCATCTGGCAACCCTACCTGGTGCTGCGGCTGCTAACTCTGCTGCAGGGAGAGCTCGCTGGAAAGTCTCGCTCACTAGAGCCGGGAGGAGGGGGAGTGACAGGAGAGAAGGAGCGACCGAAGAAGAACGCGCTTAACCAAAGCCGCGAACGCGCCTAAGCTCCGGAACCTTCCCTAGAAGAAGCCGTACACGCGCGTTCGCGAAGGCCCACCCAATGCTGCCCGAGCGGGCTCGACTAAGCAGGCGCAAAAAGCTCGCCCGTGTCCTCTTTCATCAGACACCACCCTGCAGGCGTGTGCGCATGTGTCGAGTCCTTGCGCTTTTTTCCAGCCCGTGTTCTTTGTCTCCTGTAGGAAAAAGGCTGTTTCCCAAAAATACTGAGTTGAGGGCGAGGGTTGGGAACGGATTCGCGCGCCCTACCAAGCAAATAAACATAGTAACCCGCTTCAGTAGTATACTTCGATATAAGAAGCCGAGACGGGGGTCTTTTCTGTGGTTTTAAAGTTGGGGAAAGGCTGCTTTTAGTGATAGCTAAAAAGGCCAACGGAGGATGTTCCGTACAAACAATGGAAGCCAGCGAGACTCCTTAAGGATCTGGTTAAGAAGAGCAAAAACTAAAAGGGAAAGAAATTCCTGAAAGGAAAGCAAGAATAGAAATGGGTTCTAACTCTATCCTTATCTGTATTGATAATACACATTTTCGTTTTGAAATAGGTTGTTTTTTGCTTTTTTTTTTACTTTAACCATTAGCATTTTAATACTACTATATTTTATTTTTCTGCATCATAAAAAAACTAAGACACTGAAAAGAATGAATTATAAATACGTTTAATAAAAGGTAGATTACAGCATCATGGGAAAGGCCTGGCAACCCTATTTTTACCAATCCTCAAGGTGATCACTTTGCCCTGTCCTCAGCTCATGATTTATGCTCAGTCCTACTTTGCTACTTTCAGTAATGCAACTCAATCCTACATAACGCTCAGTCCTCCATAAACTGCCACAATCCTGCTACTGTGTTATCTACATACAGTTAAAAGTCTCCTGTATGTTTGTAACCTTCAATTGGGCAACCATTGTTAAATCAAGGTATCTCAACTAAAAGAATGCATCCAATATCTGACCCCTGGGATTGAAATGAAAAGGATTTTCACGCCAGTTGTATTGGCAAAGTTATGGTCAGTGCAATAATGCTGCACCACCCTGCAGCACCATGATCCTGCAATCGTGATCATGATTTCAGGTGGTCCCTGTATGCTTCCCATAAGCAAAGTCAGTGGGGATGAGAGCAGGAATGTGAAACACCCACTCACACATATAGGTTGCCTGTGTGTGGATCATTCAGTTTATCGAGTTAGGTAAGGAAACATCCATGAAAAGATGACCTAACCAGTTATGGATGTACTAAACATCCTTAAAATGGTATTTTAGTCACATTCCAAAGAGCTGGATGGTTTGCCCGGAATAATTTTGACTTGGTAAATTTCTGTTCCTAGGTAACATTGACATTAGGGAGAAATTTATACCTAAATGGGAATATCAGACAGTAATGAGAATGGCTATTTATTAACTAATCAATGGCCTCAGTAAATTCACTTGCCCAAATGTACAGGCAACCTATATGTTAGCAAGCCACAAAATAAAACCAACAACAGAAGTCACAACTGTAAATCCCCAATAGGATATTCTATTTATACTCAGCAAAGGCTGGGTTCTGCTAAGGATAGTGTCAGAAAGGTCTCAGTTTAGCCTGTTATTTTCTGAGCATTCCTTATCTCCCACTTAACTGTGATAAATAAGATTTTTGTGCTTGAATATCTATGCCATTTGAAAAATCATAACTTCTAAAATAACATAAAAAGAATAGTTTAAACACTATGAGTTCCTTTTGTTTCCTGTTTAATCCCTTATTTTATTTGTAGTTCATTTATAATTTGCTTTTAATGTAAGTGAACTATATTAATAATCAACATTAATTTCCATTTTTTGGCATGAACTTTTGGGTACCAGTTTAGGTCTAGGTATATAAATGTCATTTTTAGGTATTCTAAATTCAATTAGGTATCCTCTAATAATGTTATTATAAGCAATCCCTCAATATTTATTGAGATCATTGTTAAAATTGGTCTTGACAAAGTCCTCTTTAGTGAATTCATTCCTTGGTTTTCCCAGGTTTGATCTGGTGTGAGAAGGATTAGCTGGCAATCAAAGTTGCTGTTGTACACCTGACTGGTTTGAAATATTGGTCCACAACTTTCGAGGAAGCTCTTTCTGTATATCTTTCTGAAATATCTCAGTGTGACACTCAACAGGATGCTGTCTTTTAAACAGCATTGCCTGAACACTAAAAGTACCACGAGGAACAATATCATCAAAAGATTGGTAAGTACCAATAGGGAGCTCAACTAAATTGTGCACATCAGCTTTGGCCTTGAGTATCTCTGCAACAGAGGATGCTGCTCCAGTAAGGGGTGTATCTGCACAAACAAAACAAATTGATATCATAATTTGTCAATGAAGCAATACGCTTTATGACAGGTTATCTCAAATCTACACCAACAAAAAACTATATCCTCCTACTGGCATTTCCCCATCCAAGATCAGGAGAGAAGTAGCAGCAGATGTTGAGAGAACTCGGCAAGAAAATGATCCTTGATATCCTCTGAATGGGCATGTGTTCCAAGCTCAACAACTCAAATCTAGGAACAGTTTTATGGCAAGAACAAGTATTATTGAAGTACACAAGAACACAATTGAATTAAAAGATGGAGGAAGGAGACCATTGAGCAAGGAATAACATTAAAGGGGGATATGGCTAAGGATTTGACGTCACTTATGAATAGGTTGAGAGTTGGAGTGCTTAAATTTAAAACGAATATGCTCAAGTGAAAGCTTTAGTGGACAACAACATGCTATGTGAATGTGCAGAGAAATAGAGCCAGGCCCATCTGCTGATATGCCAGCTACTACCAGAAACATATACCAATAATGACTTATTTTTGGCCAATGACAAAGTCAAGAGGGTGGCTGCATCCTAGCACTTTAAAGTTTGATCTAGACACAGAAGAAGAAGAATTCAGTTAGATGATAAATAGCATTTAAAAATATTGAAACTTTCAAAAAAATCATTTATGAATTGCTACGATGCAACTTTAGTTCTCTTAATCACCTCTTTTCCATTAATTACTATAGGTGGTGCCAATAAGATGCCAAAAGGCACCTTTCTTAATATTTGCCAAGCTCCCTGCTTCACTTAATCTTTTATAACTTTACATATTTTAATTTTTCAAAATTATTTGGGAAGTTAGTGAAACTAATCAACTTTTATTTCAGGGATGTGTCTGGTCCCATATAGCTTCTTAGGGCTCATCCTCATATCCCAGTAACTGTAGCATAAAGATGTTTATCTATTTTTAATGGACATATTTCCATGATAATCACTTTTGTTACATTGGCAATCAGCTGTAAAAGTATCTTAGCTGTTTATGTAGCAATAATAATATAGGAGAATATATTACTTTTCCTACATTACTTTTCCTTTATCCAGCATAAGCAAGCCTTGCCATCTTAGTACAGTGATATTGGAAATGTTCCAAAACTAAGACCTGACATTTGGCAAATTCTTATTGGCCTCAATGTTGTCCATGGTCACTTCAGCTTGGGCTCATGTGGAGACCAAACATTACTGTTCACATTTCTGTCAAGGCATTGGCTGGCCTCTGTCAAATATGCTGTATGGGCATTATGCATGCTTTTTAGGTACAAATATAGCACTCTTTGGGAAAACTAATGTCTTACTTTTTTAAAAAGCTACACTAGATCCATCTTTAAGGAAAAAATACCATCAGACTTTGAAAAAGCTGCCAATCTTATGTTACAAAGGCTGATTTAAGCAAGGGATATGAGTCAGATCTCTCAGTGTATATTGTTGCTTCTTTCCCCAACTAGTTCGTTAACAGGGTTGCAGCTTTGACAACAAGAACTTTTGCATGACTGTACCTCACAAGTTATAATATTTTACACACACGCTACTTTCAGATACTGCCAGCCACATCCAAATTATTCCCTTAATACTAATGTGGAAAATAATAAGAATTCGTGTGAAATCATCTTCCTTTTCCTTCCTTCCTTCCTTTTCGGAAGGAGAGGTCACAAAAACAGCTTAGAAGCATAAAGTGACGTGCTTTTTGCAATTTCTTCATTGCACATGGCAATGTATCACTCAGGCCATTTCTGACAAAGGAATAGCATGCTCCTGGAAGAATGGTAAGCTCTGGTTAAAAAAAAATAGCCCACCTGACAAGTTGTGAGATAGACGAGGGTGATGCATAAGATAGTTCTCTCAATCTGCTGGACAGTTCCCTTCCATTTAACTCTGCACTGTTCCATCCCTGCACCCAGTCAGTTAGCTATTTTGGGATATTGCCAAAAGCCTACTTGACATATATTCAGAAATAGCCCATGTAACAGGACACTGGCATGGAGCAGCACCATATTAGTGAACTGTCATTTGGGTAACTTGAAAGATAATTAGCTTATGCCCCAAATACTCATTGATTCATCCACTACACCTCATCATGTGTTAAAGAGAATTATTAGTTATCATTTTTCCTACTGATTTGTGGGTTCTGAAAAAGAGGCAGTACAATTGAGGGAATCAACCCTTAACTTGCCCCGCATCAAAACTATAAACACATGACTACATGCAAACCTTATTGACAATTTTATTCAGAGCACAGCTATCAGGCAGCATAAATTATACTAGCATACCTCTGACAGCTTGAGGAATGGAAGAATACATACAGTATTAATGCAGTCTTGAGGAAGAGCCTTAAACGAAAGGGAAGGGTGTAATAAATCTGAACAGTCTGATCCTGTCAAATTGATGAATATAGGTAAGAAAGTGATTTTGATTATGTGTCATCAAATCAGTGTTTACTCTTAATAATTACATAGATGGACCTTCCCTGGGATATTTATCTCTTGCAACACTGAGTCTATCATCACTATAATTCACCTTATTCTCTTCACTTTCCCTCCAATTTTCTCAGCATTATGTACTTCTCAAGGGAACTGGATATTGTGTCCATTATTTGTGCATAATGTGTCCAAAATATGAACTCTGATCTGTTCAATGATACAATAGTATGTTTTCTTACCTGTTAATGGGGCAGATAGTTCTCATTTAACAACAGTGGGACACAAATTTCCATCACTAAGCAATGCGATCATAAAGCACAACATT